CTGCTTCATCAGCTTCTTCTTCTGGCTCTACGAGCCAGAGACTCTGTACAGTGACACCAGAAGTGATGAAATGCACCTAATTTCCGATGTCCAGTGATCGGAGGAGAGATCCGTGGCTAGAAGCTGCTGATCTCTCCTTCGATCTGTCAGGGGAGACCCTCCACACCGGTCCCGGGCTCACATGAGGGACAGATGAGTCCAGGAAGCTGACGGCAGCACCGGCGGCTGCAAAGGGGGACACGGCGCCGTATTGTACAAGCGATCCGGCGTCTATACATAATATATTACCGTTTCGGCAATATATTAAATGGGATGTGGGCACTTGCCAGGTTTCAATATGGCCGCCGCTACTAGCAGGGGCCATCTTTAAAAACTTAATGTGCAGTGGACACAGGGGGGACACCTGAGGCTCGCACAGCATCCAAGGTTACGATGTGGAGTGTGCAGGCCCCGGCTTCCTCCAGTGCTGCGTGGCCCGGCCGCCTTCAGTCAACTGTACGGCCGTCACCCATGTAAGGTTCGCGGGCCCCTTGAGTGTCGGCCGTACCCCTCTGACTGCGGCCCTGCCCCCGCACTGCAAGGGTTAAGAAGAATTCTGCCCGGAGTTCTTCTTGAAGTACCTATATTAAATAGAGGAAAATGAACCCACTGTAGTAACATACAAGGAACATTAGAGGTCCCAAGTTAATTCTAACTGGAATATATATATATATGGAATATATATATATATAATTAGTAGTGACTTAATAAATAGAAGGGCCTGCTCCAAATGAGCTTTCAGTCTAAAGTTCCTACAGCAGTATACAAAACACATTCATAACATCTAGAGTTAATTTGGTTAAATGCATAAGCCAATTAGACTGCCACTTGTTTTTGACTGAAACAGGAAACCCCGAGACAACATACAGACATACAGATAGTGTCCCTACTAGCATTCAGCAGGATACCAACATTGCAAGGCTTAACCACAGCCATTGACCTTTAGCTTGTATTGCCTGTGGAATCTCCAGCTTCTATACTGTCTATGATAAGCTTATATTTTAGGAGTATAGGAGTATAAGGAGTATAGTCTTTCAACTCTATAAGTACTGACAAGGTTTAATAGCAGTGCTGCCAGGCCACTTGCTGCATTAACACCATCCAGTGAAACACAGCTCTCATCTCTTATGGAGCCTTGCCAGAATTTGAGTAAGGTAATGCTTCCTTATGTTCATCTGCTTTCCTGAGAACAAACTGTTCTTTTTACAGTGTCCTTGTGTGCCAACAGATCCTCTGAGACAGAGAATTTATGTATACAAGCAAAAGTGTGCCCGTTCCAGAACTGGAAAGGTTGGGGACATTACGAACAATGCTAAAGAAGTGTTTTAGGGGGCAATATACTATGCTGGAAAATAATGCATATGGAATGAGGTCAGCTAAAGTTGAAGCAGGTTTACTTTGAATCAAAACTGCTCACACACTCTCTAACACCTCCACTGAGGTGGTCTGCAGACTGTGAAGGTTATGAAACAGGAGTAGTGTGTCAGTGGGAGTGGGGACAATCAAGGATAAAAAAAAAGAGACACCAATATTGAAGCAGGGTTATCAGGGACTGTGTGATAGGGTCTAGAATTTGTGGAGGTGTTGCGGAGTATGAGAGCAAGGTTTTGCGGCCAGAGAATGTTAATGCAGGAAATGGGACAGTGGGTGTGATATTCCAGCTGGACCATTCAGTGGAGTTAAGACTGACATTTGGCATAGTGCACTCAATAAATGTGAGGGATTATCCCAATTGCGCTGGAGACTGGTTGATGAGCAGTTAAGACACATACACATGTGCAAGAAATGGTTGCTTAGGGTAAACACATGCTGAGGAGTGGCCGCTGAGGGGTAAGTGCATACGTGCTGGGTAATGGCAGCACAGGGATTAATGCATACGAGCATAAGAATAGCTGCTGGAGAGGTTAAATCACATACACTGGGTATTGGATGCTAAGGGTTAACCCACAAGCTGGGTAATGGGTGCTGAGTGGTTATCAATATATGACTGGGTGCTGAGTGCTAATGAGATAATGCATGAGGAAAAGGCATTGAGGGGTTATCGCATATTCTGACACTGGGGTGGTTAATGTACACACACTGAATATCCATCACTGAGGGGTAGATGAACATGCTCAAAGAAGAACGCAGGCACTGTAGACAGGTCACTGAAGGGTTAAAGGAGAACTATGAGTTGAGTGCTTTTCACTCACCTCATAGTTCTAGCCGACCTGTGACTATGACACTGTCACAGGTCGGCTCAGTAGATCGGGAGGTGAGCGAACACATACCGGCGTTCGCTCACCTCTCCATCTGGATTCCCCCCGAGCGCTGACTGGCGGAACGGACGGGCGAGAGGGCTGGTACAGCTGGCTCTGCCTCTAGATAGGCAGAGCCAGCTATCAGTCACGCAGCTGGGCGGATCCCGGCATAATTGTCGGCATCCGTTTCAGCTGCGGCGTCTCAGTATCCTTCGAGCAGCAGCTCGCGGTATACTGAGCCTAGGGTGGCGGGAGGACGCTAGTTTGTGTCCTCCCGTTACCCTAAGGAGAACTATGGGGAAAAGCCTTAACCCCATAGTTCTCCTTCAATATTTTTAAGTTAGGGGTAGGTCCCTGAGGAGTTAATGGTCATTCTGTGGCAGCGTTAAATGGACACACATGGCAGACTGGTCACCTATGGGTTAATGCACATACACTGCAAACTGGTAACTAATGGGATAAAGCTCATACCCTGCTGCTGTCAAATTGGCTAGGAAGCGCTGGGTACTGGAGAGACCACCTTACTGCTGGTATGGATACTGGGGAGTGACCCGTTTGTTCTGAGGACAGGATACATAAGAAAGACCAATGTGTGTTCTAACACACACACTATCCTGGACTACACACTACTCTTCAGTTACTAAGAAACTATGAAAAACTTACTTCTGCAGAGCAGGAAGGGAGCAGAACTGAGCGTCAACCTTTAAAAGCAAGCATGTGCCTATGATAAGCACTCCCTTTCCCACCAGCAGCATAAACCTGCTTTTCCTTTACTTCCCTGCCGCTTCCATTCAGCCTTGGGAGCGGAAGAAAATGCCTAGTAGTGTCACGTAAGGAGAAGCATGTGATTTTATCCTTGTGACAGTGACACGGAAGGCCAGTATATGTGTTTATGGAGGTCTGCATTAAGGTGAACTGGTTACATTACCCTCCATTGGCAAAGCACAGGTTCACATTAAAGCACGCCTACAATAAAAACAATAGAAGAATCAAAATTCAGAGTGACAGAGGTGATTTTAATAATTCTGGCATACCTTGTGTTTGCTGCCTCTATGCTGAAATCTGGCTGAGGAAGAGTGAGTCCTAAAGTCCCTGATAAGTGGTGTGGCTTTTGTTTTAGACGGAGCATGGGATAGTTTTCTATCAGCTTGTTATCTACCCTTGAGCCCACTGGGGAGGATTTTGCCTCACTTTCTCTCCCTGTGAGGCATTTACAAGAAAGGGTGCAATTATCACAGGGACAGGAAGTCCCAAAGGGCAAACTAAAAAAAAGAGCCCTTACTAAACCCTATAGAATATTACCGTTGGATTTCCACCACTTCCTCTCCTGATAAGGAATTAGTGGAAATCTCCCCAATAAGTAAACATATGGCTAGAATTGGACAGGTAAACATTAAATAGGAACTGAACTCTGGGAGCTGTGACAACAAATAGGCAGGCAAAGGACTTGTCACAGGATTGCTAGGGCTTCCCCAACAGCTGATCCTTTCCCCATTTCTGAATTGCCATCCCTTGTTTTGCACTGTGTCTCTGTGGGAGGCCGCCATCTTAGAGGAAGGACTTTTCTTTACTATGTCAGAGCTTCTAGAAAGGAGAACAGTGAGCAGCACAGTAGTAATATTATCAAATTTCACTTCAGGATAGCAGTCAGAGGCAGCAGTGCCTTAGATTTGACACTGTAGCTATACAGCTATTTGGCCTTAGGTACAGGAGTGCCTAGGCACACTATTATAGCAGAAAAGGCAGTGCTATTTTTTTAAGGAGGAATTCCCGGATAAAAAGTAAAATTTTCAGGATACTGCTTATGAACAATTCACATTTCTAGATGTTTCCCATAACACAGCAAATCTTCACTTTTTGAGTTTAGTTTAATTTCAAGCTGAACAACAGGGGAAGTAATACATTAGTACATATGTATTCCAGAATCCTGTTGCACTCCTTACGAGGTATCCCTATCAGCGTGGGTGCTCGAAGTGACCGCGGATACTGAAAGTTGTTAAAGATTTCACCAGCACACCATATTGAAGTGAAGTTGTCCAAGGACCTGTAGCACTCCTTACCGGAACTCCCATACATATTAGTGGGTGCTTGCAATGACCGCGGATGGCGCCGCACTCAGCATAGTCTTGTGTAAAAACGTCACCAGCACGACAGACTTGAATGTCAGTGCAAATCCATTTATTGATGTCAGTCGTCACTCAGCTGCTGTGCTGGTGACGTTTTTACACAAGACTATATTGAAGTGAAGAGCACGTCTGTTTATTGACGCTTCATGTCAAAACAAATAGCAACGTTTCGGGGCCACACAGGGTCCCTTCATCAGGCTTGAAGAAAAAAAAAAAAAAAGCCTGATTAAGGGGATCCTGTGTAGCCCCGAAACGTTGCTATTTGTTTTGACATGAAGCGTCAATAAACAGACGTGTTCTTCACTACGTGCCTTCCGATTTACAATTTCAGGTGACAAACATACATTGCAGGCAGATGATAATGTGGTAATTTTCAAAAATTGTATGCATCAGGATACAAGAAAAATATATCAACAATACAAAGAAGATTGTAAAGGTGAATGTGAGAAATTCAGGATAAATGTTAAGACACAGGCTTCAAATTTCCCATTCACACTTTTTAAAAATAGATCATTTCAGCTTTAGGAACTATTTTTGTTTCTTGATATGATTCTGAGCATGCATTGATGCATAGCATTTGGCTACTATTACATACCATCACCACTTTCAGACCCTCCTGCTCTATATGGATTGTATTTTGGTTTCGGGGCAACTACAGGTGCAAATTTCTTAGGGGCTTGTTGAGTTGACACAGATATGCTGGGTGTTCCAAAGCCCTGTGTGGTCTCCATTCTGGCTGTTACATGTCCCAGGTTGTCCCCAGAGCTCTTTGGTGGTAGCCATGAAGGATGAGACATTTTTCAAGTCTACAGAAACAGAAATGACACTCATTGGAACCAAATATGTCAGACATAAATGCACACAAATGATGTATTGTGGATTTGGTGAAATGCAACATAATTATGAATCTATACATAGACAGGATGGGGGGAATTTATCAAAACTGGAGCAGACAAAATCTGGAGCAGCTGTACATGGCAACCAATCAGCTTCTCTCTTCAGTTTAATTAAGATTTGAAAATGACAGAGAGATGCTGATTGGTTGCCATGCACAACTGCTCCAGATTTTATCTGCTCCCGTTTTGATAAATCCCCTTCAGTGAACATAGAATGACAACATAAAAAAAACAAATTATAATTTAAAGAGGAATCCTGCTTAATGCCAGGTTTTCATATATGAAAAGTCATTTAAACTAATTTGTAATGTAAGCAGATGAGGAAATATGATTAATTACATAGGAAGAAGCCATTATTTATTGCCTTTAAATAGTTTACTCTGTCTATGAGAACACACCTTTAGTATTCTATACAAATTAGTCATAAATCAGCAAGTTGTTTTACTGTCTGACTCCTGGAAGGGAAGGCAAGAGAAACTGTTCTGTGTGAAGTGGTCAGAGGGCTCATCTACAATGAGCATATAGAATAGAAATGCTGATCCCATTTCTTTCTCCAGATTTTTATGAATTGTAAAATGTTTGAGTTACTATCAGCCATATCTGAGAGTTGGAAAGCCCATACTTCCATCCCTTGTCGTGGCTCAAGGCCAAACTTGAGGACATAATCACTAGCCCAATTACATGCACACAAAGAGGCCTAAAAGATTTGAATTGTTTTCAGTAAATTTGTATTTTCTTTCTTTGGTCTTTTACCAAGCAAATGTTTTACGGAGCTTTTATTTGCTAAATTGGAGCAAATTATGTTTTTGAAGTTGTAAACGAAAGCTTTTTTAGAACCTTTGAATTTTCAGTTTAAATCAGCTAAATACATTCCAGTTCATTTTCTTTAGAAGCAGTTACAACCTGAGCAGAAAAGCCTGTCCCCTGTTGGCATGCTTTAGTGAGGACCCTTGATGTTTGAGTGGAGGCAGTGGTCTTCCTGCAGCGGTTTAACATGGCCCCTACAGACTCAAAGCTCTCCAATCAGAAGGGAGCATGAGCTTTGCTGATTGCAGATTAATAAGTCTGAGCAAGCAGGGGGCATGTCAGGCATCTGCAGAGAGACCACTGCTTACACACAGGGTGCATTGAGCTGCAGCAATCTGCATTAAAGGAGAACTATGAGGTCAGTGAAAATCACTCATCCTCATAGTTCGAACCGATGTGTCACAATGAAACTGTCACACTTCGGTTCAATATATCGGGAAGTGAGCAAACGCATATCGTCGCTCACTCACTTCTCGATCCTCTCCCTGCAGAGAGTGGTGACAGTCAGTCACCCCTTCCCGCAGGGATTTTCCCCTCCCCGCTCCGAACCTCCAGCGCTGCCTGGAGGAATGGACGGGGAGGGGGCGGCACTGCTGGCTTTGCCTCTAGATAGGCAGAGCCCGCTGCCTATCAACAGTATTGTCAGGATCCGTCGCGGCTGCGGAGGTCTCAGTATACTGCGAGCTGTAGCTCGCGATATACTGAGCTTTGGGTCAAGGGAGGACTCTAGTATATGTCCTCCCGTGACCCTTAAGAGAACTATGGGGAAAAACACTTACCCCATAGTGTTCTTTTAATCAAAGCAGGCTCAACGCAAAGGCACATAGAAATAAAATTGTTCATTATGTGCCCTGTTCACACGACGTGTGGTGGTGCAGAATGTCATTGCATGTCAACACTGTGTATATGATTAAGACAACGCAAAACGTCTAAGAGCTAGTGTGAACAGGTCCTTAAACTAACAGTTAATTTGGATTTCATCCTTCAGTATGCTAGTGAGAGTCCAGATTGTGCTATGTGGTTGAATGCACATTACATTGGCTGACACAAACTTTGAACAAAACTTTCTGCTTATTTTTTTCTTTAACAGAAAACCGCATTACCTTTGCCAGAGTGTGATAATCAGATTTGATCGTCACTGCACTTATGAGTTGTTTATACCACTGATTTTCTGGAGCCTAGCACTTGATTAGAAATTATACTATTTCATTATACTGAAAAACCTTAATAAGCAACAGTCTGCATTTTAAAACAAACACAATATAAGAGAAGCTTTTCTACTTTCTCTGACTTAGCAGTAACATTTTTCACAAAGTTTAAAGTGACATCGAAGAACTGCAGAAGCCTCTTACCATTAGTGATAAAATATCTCAAATTGTATTGGTTGCTGCAACATTATGAACTATGCCATTTGGGTCAGCTGTCGGTACGGGATCTCTCATGCATCCTATGATATTAGGTTGGTAAATTATATATCTATACCAAATAGAACATGACATAAGGGTCTGAAAGTGGTCAATACTGCTTAACATCTGATAGCTAAAATAAGCTAGTCTACCTAACAAACATTATACAGGGGTACTGCTTGAAGCAATGTGAAAATGTTCCCTTAGGATATCATCTATATATAGATACCTATTTTACACTTGTAATAGGTTATAACTGGGACACTTTTATGCTATACTGCTCCATCCAGTGCTTGGCTGTAAATGTAAGCAGTGCATTGCCCTCCTTTTGTATTTCTGTGCTGGAAACTACATACACCCTAAATGCTAAAAAGACTTGTGCCCTGTAGAATCCAATTCATTTCTAAAGGAAAGACCTTCCACCATTATTTTCAATGATGTAACAGTAAAAAGACTTTCCATAGAAAAGAAAAACAAGTGTAAACTCCGTAAGACTATAAAAGGGTCATGAAAAAAGGTTTACATCAATTTTCAGCTGCAATATATGTGTTGTGAGGAAAAGAGACAAATAAACTATAATAAAGCCTTGGACTAGTCGTGTAAAATCAACATATTAAATGGTGGCTAAACATCTGAAAAAAGAACTGCCACCTATCCTTGGAATGCTTTATAAACTTTGATTAGAGTAGTCTAATGCACAATTGCATTTCTGTCCATTTATTCTTGAGATTTACACAGCACAGACAGTCTAAAAACTCTACTGCAGTAAAGCAATACAGCAGGGTCTTCATCAACAGCCTGTGACTGGACATTGAAGAGAAGTGGCAGACTAGAGCTAATTTCTGTCACTTTGCTCTCTGCTACTGTCAGAATGATCCTGGTTAACCCATAACTGCAGCACAACTGGTGCCTTGTGCTGCTTCTCCCTAAGCCAGCTTGGAATATGGCATACAGAGGATTGAAAGAGGCTTACACCAAATCAAATGCAGTTATTTATACTAGCTGCAGTTAAAAAAATACACTTAAAGTGGGACTTGAGGCATTTGTAAACACAGTGCATCAAAAGACCCTTGTAATTCAGAAAATAGTGTTAGATGGGTCAGAACACATATATTAAAAGCTTAAAACTTTCTTTAAATCTTTTATTCAAGGTCCCATAACCACCATAAAAGTTTAATAGCAAACCCGTGTAGTCCGCACTTACTGAAATTGTTATTATAGCTGATCCAACACAGCTGGCTGTAAAGGGGTAATTAACCATCACAGAAACAGATATTTCACCAATGCAGTTACACTCATGCACCATAAAAGCAGACCTTCACTCAAAGATAATATAATATCAATATTCTAATCCTCCTCCCTCACTGTTACATATTTGCCGGTATTTTCGGGGAGGAAGCAAGTATATTTTCTTCTGCAGTTCACTGCCTTATTCCTCAACTCAGCAAGGGGACATACACTTGGGCTAAACACCCTGCCCGCAGCCTCATGGGGTACATGTCACGTATTCCAGGAGACTTCAGGATGCTCTCCTCGCAGTCCAATGGCCTGCGCAATGACACTTCAGCAGCCATCTTTGATTCGGGAGCTGGTGGTCACTTCCTGATCATTCAGACAGCTCCAAAATGCAAGATGGCGGCATAGGAGAAGAAAAAGCTGAGAAAACTTTGGGTTATAGGAAGACAGCTCTGGACTCCATGGACTGGTAAGTTTGTGTTCCTTTAAAGCCAGCAGTGAGTCTCCTGACTTTTAGTTTCCCCTGTGTTGGGCTCTTTAATCACTAAATGCCCAGTAGTCCTTAGCGGTAACAATTTTGCTTTTGTATAATCAATCTCCTCAATGCATTCATCTGCTCAGACTCTAAGATGATGGTGCCACTTTATAGAAAGTGATGATGTGCCCCAAATCATTCTTCCTCCTTACAAGTTCAGCTAATACTAATGTAAGGCTGGTGTGCTAATGCAGCCAATGTGTTCACACAGGCAACCTGAAAACAGTAGATGTATATGTTTATGCAAGCAAAAAGTTCCTTTTAAAATCTAAAATCTGTTTCTGTCTTAACAGTTTCAGTGTGACTTATATGGAGCTGATGGGAGAGAAGCACAGTGCATGTGCAGCACAATTAAATGTGACATCCTCCTGAATTTAGCACATCCTGTTTCATTAACAAACCAGGACATAAACATGTCACATCACTTGTACAGCCCTGGAATTCTATAAACCATTTTGCAGCACCAGGTTGCCGAGATACCAAGGATTAATGGTCGTAAACATCCTCCATTTTCCTTTACTACACAGGCTTTGTCAGCAAGATCTGATAATCTTTCTACTAGAGTAATTGGCATCAGAACACAGCCCTGTTTATGTTGCCCTAGATCCCCGTGCTTTTTTTTTCTTTCACAAAGTTTCTTTTTTCTACAGCAAAGTCATTGGCTTGTGTACACTTCTGTATTGTAAACAAGAAAGAACTGACAGCACATAACAGTTGCTGCAGATAAAAGATAAATTGCTGTACCTATTCCTCAGCCCTACAAACAGGGATTCCTTACATGAAAAGTGTAAAAACTGGCATACAATATAAGCAACAGAGTGAAGCAGAAGACTTATAAAATGCATAACTCTAGAACACAGTTAAAAGTGACACTGTGTTGTTGCAGGGAGGTTGAAAATGTTAGTGTCAAACAATCCAGAAATAGT